TAGTCTTCAAGTGATCCATCCCCTGTCGCCCATTCCCAGCTTCTGGCAAACAGAGACTAGGGACACCACCCCTGCCCTTCCTGGCTAATAGCCATTGATGGACCTATCCTCCATGAATTTATCTAGTTCTTTTTTTGAACCCTCTTATAGTTTTGGCCTTCACAACATCCTCTGGCAAAGAGTTCCACAGGTTGACTGTGCGTTGTGTAAAGAAATACTTCCTTTTGTTTGTTTTAAACCTGCTGCCTAGTAATTTCATTGAGTGACCCCTAGTTCTTGTGTTATGAGAAGGAGTAAATAACACTTCCTTATTTACTTGCTCCACACCAGTCATGATTTTATAGACCTCTATCATATCCCCCCTTAGTTGTCTCTTTTCCAAGCTTAATAGTCCCAGTCTTTTTAATCTCTCCTCATATGGAAGCTGTTCCATCCCCATAATCATTTCAGTTGCCCTTTTCTGTACCTTTTCCAATTCCAATATATCTTTTTTGAGATGGGGCGTCCAGATCTGCACACAGTATTCAAGATGGGGACGTACCCTGGATTTATCTTGATCAGGGGTTCCCAAACTTGGTTCGTGGCTTGTTCAGGGTAAGCCCCTGGTGGGCCACGAGACACTTTGTTTACCTGAGTGTCTGCAGGTACAGCCGCTCGCAGTTCCCAGTGACTGTGGTTCGTTGTTCCCAGCCAATGGGAGCTGCGGGAAGTGGCGCGGGCTGGGCTGTTTGGCAGGCTTCCTGCATCTGATGTACTTAAATAAAATTGCCGTTGGTTTTTGTGTCTAGCTAGTTGCTGTTCGGATTCGTTTTTGACCTTATTATACGTTTACACTTGATTTGCCAGAGTTTTATGTTCCTTTCTATTTTACTTACTAGGATTTGACTTCCAATTTTTAAAGGATGCCTTTTTGCCTCTAACTGTCTCTTTTGCTCTGCTGTTTAGCCATGGTGGGATTTTTTCATCCTCTTACTGTTTTTATTCATTATTATTAGGGGTATACATTTAGTTTGAGGCTCTATATGGTATATCAGGAAACAATCACCCAATGGAGGAAGCATACTGTGCCCAGTATGGGGAGGAGCTGACCAGCCCTCTGTGGAGAAACCTAATTGCCTTCGATGATGAGATAACTGGCTCCGTGGATGAGGGGAAAGCATGGACGTGTTATTCCTTGACATTAGCAAAGCTTTTGATATGGTCTTCCACAGTATTCTTGCCAGCAACGTAAAGAAGTATGGTCTGGATGAATGGACTATAAGGTGGATAGAAAGCTGACTAGATCATCGGGCTCAATGGGTAGTGATCAATGGCTCCATGTCTAGTTGGCAGCCGGTATCAAGTGGAGTGCCCCAAGGGTCGGTCCTGGGGCCGGTTTTGTTCAATATCTTCATTAATGATCTGGAGGATGGCGTGGACTGCACTCTCAGCAAGTTTGCAGATGACACTAAACTGGGAGGAGTGGTAGATACGCTGGAGGGTAGGGATAGGATACAGAGGAACCTAGAAAAATTAGAGGACTGGGCCAAAAGAAATCTGATGAGGTTCAACAAGGACAAGTGCAGAGTCCTGCACTTAGGAAGGAAGAATCCCATGTACTGCTACAGGCTGGGGATCGACTAGCTAAGCAGCAGTTCTGCAGGAAAGGACCTAGGGGTTACAGTGGACGAGAAGCTGGATATGAGTCAACAGTGTGCGCTTGTTGCCAAGAAGGCTAATGGCATTTTGGGCTGTATAAATAGGAGCATTGCCAGCAGATCGAGGGAAGTGATTATTCCCCTCTATTCATCACTGGTAAGCCACACCTGGAGTATTGCGTCCAGTTTTGGTCCCCCCCCCCCCACTACAGAAGGGATGTGGACAAATTGGAGAGAGTCCAGCGGAGGGCAACAAAAATGATTAGGGGGCTGGAGCACATGAACTTATGAGGAGAGGCTGAGGGAACTGGGATTATTTAGTCTGCAGAAGAGAAGAATGAGGGGGGATTTAATAGCTGCTTTCAACTACCTGAAAGGAGGTTCCAAAGAGGATGGATCTAGGCTGTTCTCAGTGGTAGCAGATGACAGAGCAAGGAGCAGTGGTCTCAAGTTGCAGTGGGGGAGGTTTAGGTTGGACATTAGGAAAAACTTTTTCACTAGAAGGGTGGAATGGGTTACCTAGGGAGGTGGTGGAATCTCCTTCCTTAGAAGGTTTTTAAGGTCAGGCTTGACAAAGCCCTGGCTGGGATAATTTAGTTGGGGATTGGTCCTGCTTTGAGCAGGGAGTTGGACTAGATGACCTCCTGAGGTCCCTTCCAACCCTGATATTCTGATTCTATGATGAAATTCACAGTAGCTTCCCTGTGTAGAGAAGCCCTCAGACTCCAGATCTTCAAAGTTTAGATCCTCCTCAGTTTAGCCACTTGTCTGCACTGGTTCTTTACTCCATTCAAACCACTGAACACACATTCGTTCAATTTCAGCATGAACTGGCAATTTGAAGACACTGGGGCTGGTTGAAAACCAGGAGGGAAAATGTGAATGTAATTTCAGTTATCCCCTCCTCTGTTTTTTCACCAAAGATTGAAATGTCCATTGAATTTGAATTCAAACCCAGAGCTGCGGCCAAGGCCGTGTATTTCTGAGAGCCCATTTTCTTTGGAGTATGGGGAACCAGGATCATGGCTCGCGGAGAGGCAGGGAACTTGGAAGGTGGTGGGGGTGGCTAAGATGGCATGTCAGAGATGCTCAAGCTCCAGTAGCCACTAGGGTGGCCACCACCCAGCACGCCCCCTTTTCTGAGGTAGCTGGACACGACCAAGTGGTTTGGACATCCCAGCCTTTTATACTTCAGAGGTGACAACCCTAGCAGCCACAGCTTGGGAACCCCTGGCCTAGGGCATTGGCTGAGGTGGATGGGGAGCCGGGTCAACTGTGGCTGGGCGAGGGGGATAGATCCAGGGGGCTGGCTGAGGAAAGGGTCAGACCTGGCACAGGCAAGCCAAATTGAGAGAGGCCTGGCCATGTGTTGCTGGTGGGGTTACCCCAGGGGTCCAGCTGGCCAGGGAGGGGCAGGTCTGGCTGGGGACAGAGTGGGAGGAGGCTTGGCTGCTTTGAGGCTGACTGAGGTTGGGGGGACAGGTCTGGGGGGCTAGTTGAACAGGGTCAGGCCTGGCTGGGGATTGGGGATGAGTCAAACCAAGCTAGGAGAAGCCTAGCTGGTGCTGGCAGGGCAGGCTGGTCTGGTTGGCATGGAGATGGGGCAGACCTGCCTTCCCAGGGGTTGGAGGAGGGAGGGCAGGCCTGGCTGGTTGGGGTAGGGTTGTTGGGGGTCAGGCCTGGCTGGAGGCAAATGGCAGGCTAGGAGAGGATTGGGGAATGGGATGGGGCTGTTGGGGGGAAGGACAGTGGTAGTAGGGGAGCCTGGGGGATTGGGGACCTGGATGGCTGGTGAGCAGAGCAGACTGGATGGGTGGGGTGGGTTTGTTGGGCCTTTGATTCCTCCCTCGAGAGGAATAATTTTGTATTTGTTGCTTTTTTTTTTTTTTTTTTACAAGTTGCCAACCAAAAATCCAGAGAAATAATCACCCTGGCAGAGAGGAGCCCAGAGAGAAATGTACAGACAGGTAAATGGAGGCTGAGAGCGGGGCTGGGACCTGCCCAAAAGCCATAGAGGAGTCAGTGGCCCAGCTACAAATAGAACCCAGGAGTCCTGACTCCCAGGTCCTTCTGCTCTAACCACTAAATGCCACTCTACTCCCACAACTGAGGATAGACCCCAGGAGTCCTCACTCCCAGCCTTCCCTATTCTAATCAGTAAAGCCCTCTCCCCTCCCACAGCTGGGGATAGAACCCAGGAGTTCTGACTCCCAGTCCTTCTTCTTTAACTCATTTAAGCCCGAGCTGCTCCGCCTGCCTGGTGCACCTGCTGGGAAACAGGGGAAGCCCCATGCCCCAACCCCATTTCTCCAGGAGAAGCGTCAGGGGGTGGTGGAGGGGACTGCAGATGGAAGGGGTCGGGTGGGGAGGGGCCCCCACTTGCTCTAGTCAAGGGCCCCAGAAACCCCTAATCCACCTCTGACCGGAGGAGTCCTGATTCCCAGCCCCCTGCTGCTCTAACCACTCTCCCCTTGTAGAGCTGGGGACAGAACCCAGGAGTCCTGATGCCCAGCCCCCTTGCTCTAATCACTAGACCCCACACTCCCCCCAGAGCCGTGTGGACAGAACCCAGGAGTCCTGATGCCCAGCCCCCTTGCTCTAATCACTAGACCCCACACTCCCCCCAGAGTCGTGTGGACAGAACCCAGGAGTCCTGATTCCCAGCCCCCCGTTCTAACCACTAAAGCCCACTCCCCGCCCAGAGCAGGGGAGAGAACCCAGGAGTCCTGCCCGTAGCTAGCCACTAGATAGCGCTGTGCTGTCTGTTGCTGCAGGACGCAGACAAGCTTTCCCCTCTCCTCCCTCTTCCTCGGCTTCCTGCCTGGCGATTGGCATCTGCTCCCGGCTCCCTCCATTCGCTGCGGTGCAGAGCCCCCCCTGCCCGGCGCGCCCCTAGGGCCCTGGCCCCGAGGGAGAGGCGGAGGAATCGGGGGTCCCTGCAGCCCTTGGTGGGTTTGCAGTTGCAGCCATGGAGGGCGCGGCCGGGCCGGGCCGCAGCCTGCAGGACGAGCTGACCTGCCCCGTGTGCCTGGAGTACCTGCGGGACCCGGTCATGGTCTCGGACTGCGGGCACAATTTCTGCCGCGCCTGCGTCACCAAGTGCTGGGAGGACTCGGAGCGCAGCCTGTGCTGCCCCCAGTGCCGGGAGCCGGTCCCCCACCGCCTCTTCCGGCCCAACCGGCAGCTGGCCAACATCGTGGAGATCGTCAAGCATTTCGGGGCGCAGGCGGCTGCCGGGCCGGGGGCGGCCGGTGGGGGGGTGTGCGAGCGGCACGGGGAAGCCCTGAAGCTCTTCTGCCAGGAGGACCAGAAGCCCGTCTGTCTGGTTTGCCACCTGTCCTGGGACCACCGAGCCCACCGGGTGGTGCCCATAGAAGAGGCTGCCCGGGGCTGTAAGGTAGGAAAAGGCGCCGGTGCATCGGTGCTGGAACTAGGGGTGTGTCCGCACCCCCTGGCTTGAAGCGGTTTCCAGCCGGGGTTCTCAACCGTTTTCTTTCCGAGGCCCCCTCCAACATGCTAGAAAAACTCCATGGTCTACCTGTGTCACAACAAATCTTTTTCTGCATATAAAGGCCAGGGCAGGCATTAGGGGGTAGCAAGCAGGGCGGTTGTTGGAGGCCCCGTGCCACAGGGGGCCCCGCAAAGCTCCATTGCTCAGGCTTCAGCATCAGCCCCAGGTGGCGGAGCTCGGGGCCCTGGGCTTCATCTTTCTTTCCTGGGCCCCAGTGAGTCTAATGCCAGCCCTGCTTGGTGGACCTCCTGAAACCTGCTTGTGGCCCCCCAGGGGGTCCCGGGCCCCTGGTTGGGAACTGCTGGTATCTGGGTTTACAGTTTGGTTCAGTGGCTCTCAGCACTCCCCACTATACAAGTTGTTCCAGCTCCGCTGAGCTGGTGTGTTGCTAGGGTTGCTAACCCTCCGGCATGGTCCTGGACTCTCCAGGAATTAAAGATGAATCTTTAATTCAAGATTCTGGCATACGATGAAACGTCCAGGGATACATCCCACCAAAATTGGCAGCCCTATAGAGGCAAAATCATGGGGTGTGGCTTTGCCTGGGAGAAGCCTCTCTTGGGTGGCTTGCACAGGCCAGGGTGGGTTTTATCTTCTGCAAGGTAATCCTGTATTAAGGAGGAATCTAAATCGGGTATTAAGGAAGCATGTCAGGCCTGCGTCTGGCTGAAGGAAAAAGGCTGCTCTGATTATTTTCCTTCTTTCCTCTAATCAGCTTTCTTTGGATCTCCTGAGCTTGGAGTCATGTGGGTAGTTCTCTGAAAACATCCACTAAAATGTGCAGCGGCAGTCAAAAAAGCAAACAGACTGTTGGGAATCATTAAGAAAGGGGTAGATAATAAGACAGCAGATATCCTGTTGTCTCTGTATAAATCCATGGTATGCCCACATCTTGAATACTGCGTGCAGAGGTGGTCGCCACATCTCAAAAAAGATATATTGGAATGGGAAAAGATTCAGGAAAGGGCAACAAAAATTATTAGGGGTATGGAACAGCTTCCATAGGAGGGGAGATTAATCAGACTGGGACTTTTCAGCTTGGAAAAGAGACAACTATGGGTGTATATGATGGAGGTCTATACAATTGTGACGGGTGTGGAGAAAGTAAAGAAGGAAGCGTTATTTATTCCTTCTCATAACCAGGGCCAGCTCCAGAGTTTTTGCCGCCCCAAGCGTCAAACAAACAAACAAACAAAAAAAAGCCACGATCGCTCTATTGTCACCGCTTCATTCTTCGGCGGCAATTTGGCGGTGGGTCCTTCCCTCCGAGAGGGACCAAGGGACCCACCACCAAATTGCTGCCGAAGAGCCAGATGTGCCGCCCCTTTCCGTTGGCCACCCCAGGCGCCTGCTTGCTGCGCTGGTGCCTGGAGCCGGCCCTGCTCATAACATAAGAACTAGGGGTCACCAAATCAAAGTAATAGGCAGCAGGTTTAAAACAAACAAAAGGAAGTATTTCTTCACACAATGCACAAACTGTGGAACTCTTTGCCAGAGGATGTTGTGAAGGCCAAGACTATAAAAGGGTTAAAAAAAGGAACTAGATAAGTTCATGGAGGATAGGTCCCACCAATGGTTATTAGCCAGGATGGGCAGGGACGGAGTCCCTAGCCTCTGTTTGCCAGAAGCTGGGAATGGGCGATGGGATGGCTCACTTGATGATCATCTGTTCTGTTCATTCCCTCTGGGGCATCTGGCATTGGCCACTGTCAGAAGACAGGATACTGGGCTAGGTGGACTTTTGGTCTGACCCAGGCTGGCCGTTCTTATGTTCCTGTATGTACTAACTTGGTGCTGTCCTTTTAATTGCAAGTCGTAAATCAAGATTGAATGCCTCTTCTCAAAAGAGTTGCTCTACCTCAGCCAAGAAGCCCTGGGCTTGACGTAGCAATTGCTAGGTGAAATTCTCTGGCAGGTGTTTATGCCAGAGGCCAGTTTGGATCATCAGAAAGGTTCTTTCTGGCCTTTGAAAACTTGCTACGTAACATGATTCATATTTTAACTGCCATGCTGCCCCCCCCCACCCCTGCAGTGCAGACAGTGACATAAAACAAACACAATCAAATTTATTGCAGGCCTTTGTAACTGAGACAGGCTCCTACTGTGGGGTGAGACCTAAATGCTAGCCCCAAAGCCTGGATTTGAAGCAGATTTTAATGAGAATTTGAGGGGATCTCTGGAGCTGGGGATTTCAGATGGGGAGGGGAAGGTTAGAGAAAAGATTTAGAAAACCTGATCTGAGAGGAAAGGTTAAAAATCTGGACGTGTTGTCTTGGGAAAAGAAGAGTGGGGGAAAAACCTAATAAGTTTTCAGATCGGTTAAGGGCTGTTATAAAGAGGGCAGTGATCATTTGTTCTCCATGTCCACAGAAGGCAGGACAAGAAGCAGTGGGCTTAATCTGCGGAAAAGGGAGATTTCGGTTAGATATTAGGAAAACTTTTTAACTGTCAGCAGGGCTTTGGAGTGGAGCCTGGAGCCAGAGCGCGGAGCAGCTCCGGAGCAGTGGAGCTGCAGGTTTTTGCCTGAAGCTGGAGCGGAGCTGGAGCACAGCTCCAAAGCCCTGTCAGGGTAGTTTAGCTCTGGAATAGGCTTCCCAAAGGAAGTTTTGAAATCCCCACCATTGGAGGGCTTGGACAACACCTGTCAGGGATGGTCTAGGTTTACTTGGTCCTGCCTTAGTGCGGTGGGGATGAGATGAATTCTTGAGGTCCCTGCCAGCCCTACATTGCTATGATTCTATGTCTAGTGGTTTGAGGGGAGGGGGGCAATGTTTGGGTCCAGTTGTGGGAGGTGCGGAGCCGGACGTAGGGGTGTTCTGAGCTGGGGGGATCGGTTTGGGCGTCGTGTTGGAATGACTTCGGATATGTCAGTAGGGGCTGGGAGATTTGGAGGCAGCGGCTGGGAGCTAATTTTGGGGCAGTATTTTTGCTGCCGTGTCTGGGGATGTTCAGAGCTGGGGTTTTAAGGGATGCGTAGATTTGGACTAGGTTTTTAAAGTAGTTTGGAGGAGCTAGAACTTGGTTGTTTGGGGCAGGATAGATTTTTTTGGTATGTCATGACGGAATTTCTGTCCGGGAGGTAAAAGGAAGAGGGCTCCTCTACTTCCAATTGTGCCTGGGTGTTTTTGTCCCTCTTCCTTCCCCTCTCCCCCGGTTGAAGCTCCATTTGTTCTATTGCCCCCTCTGCTCACATCTGCATGGTTGAGCATGAAGTGTAGCTAAGAAACAGTCTCAGGGAGGGCTAAATCTTGCCCTCAGACATGCGAGTGAGCAGTCCCAATGGCTCCTAGTATGTGTTTTCGGCAGAATTTGTGCCTGGGTTTGTTGGCCTATATAAAGGATAAAGAATAACAAGGTCGGCATTTTAACAGCATTCTATAAATCAGTGAGATGCCCTCACCTGGGATACTGTATTCAGTTCTGGTCAAGGATAAAGCAGTAACAGAAGGGGTTTACAGATGGGCAAAGAGCATGATCTGGGCTCTGGAGAGACTTGTGAATGGGCAGGGACTGGCAGTGCTGGGACTGCTCAGTTTAGAGAGGAGATAAACAAGAGGGGGAGAGGATATAGGTGTCGGCAAGAGTGAATGGAGTAGAGAAGGGAGATTAGGAGACAGGGTGAGTAGAGTTTCCCCAATACAGAACAAGGGGACATTCAATGAAATTGAAAGGTAGCCAGTTTTAAAACTGATCAGAGGAACTACTTGTTCACATTACATGCAATTAGCCAGTGGAACTCATTGCCACAAGATATAATTGAGCAGAAGTCAATACAGGACTGGATATTTATATGAATACTTCTTGCATAGATTGTTCTTTATTTGTACTGCCCTTTGTTTTGAGTTATAATAGTAAGGATTAAAAGTGCAAGACCCAAATTTTCAAGTCCAAGAGTGATTATGAATTGCCTCTCCTTTGCCAACAAGGGACACCTTGGAATGACATGATTTTTCAGAGGACAAGCACTCAGTCTTCCTGAAAATCAGGGCCCTTTAATCTTCTGAAACTGAGCACCCCCCAAAAAAGTTGACTCCCAGGATGACTAGTCACTCCTCAAACTATGGATCCAAGAGCACTGGAAGGGACATATACACTCGTGCTTCAGTGTTCCTTCCTAAATCTCTATGAGCTAGAATAACGTTTGCCTGGGGGCAGATTAGCCCATAATTCCCTGCTGCAGGGTTTATCGCACCTTCTTGTGAAAAAACTGGTGTTGGAGCCTGGAGATGGGCTCCTGGTCTGACCCAGACTGGCAATTCCTGTGTTCCTAAGTTTGGGAACTTTGTGGTGAAACCCTCCTAACAAAGATCCTTCTTGCTTCTTCCAGGAAGCACCGCAAGAGCACCTGGCTGGTCTGAGAAAAGACAGAGAAGAAGCCAAAGCCAACGAGGAGAAGAGAAGTGAGGAGCTGCTGGTATGTGCCCTGAGCCGTCCCCCACCCCAGGTTTGCCTGGGATCAGAGTGCCCTGAGTAACAAAGCAAACACAGGGCCTGTTTCTCTGTAGCCTCTGAGGGTGATGGGGGGAGAGAGAACATGGGCTGGCTGGCTGGCTAGAGAGTTTGGACAAGTGCAGGTGGACAAGGTTTTGAGAAAAATCCCTGCTGTTGCTGTTAGCAAAGGTGCAGATGCCCTTGCTTATGCTGCTGTCATTGTGTGCTTGTGGGGCTTGGAGCTGGGCTGTGGCTTGATGTCTCTAAGAACTGCCCATCTGCAGAGCTCAGCAGCCATATTGTTCTCGGGGCTGCTGGAAATCGTCACAGAGGAGGCGCGCATGCCCTGCTACCCCTCTCATAGCCTCTTTGCTTTGGTTCCTTCTCCGTGCCCTTTCCCCCTCCCTTTCCTCTTCCCTCACCAGGATGAGGAATTGGTCATCTGGCCAGACTCCAGGTCACCTCCCTCTCCAGGGCTGGGCTTCTGGGGAAAGGTGAGGGCATCTGGTCTCTCCTGAACTCTGCCCACTCACAATCTCCAAATGAAATCCCATTTGCAGTGGATGGGGCATATCTTCATAGTAGGATCAACCCTCTCCCTTGTCACCTATTGTGGTCAGCGGTAAAATGTTGATCAAGGATGACTTCTAGCTTGTCATCCGTAGGCTTCAGAGTTAACACGGTTTCAATACATGGTGACAGTTCATGTCTCTGAGAGAGATTGTTTCAGGCTGTTTGCAGACACAAGTAACCCTTACTACGTCATTCACATTTTCAGTTATTTCTTTGCCACTGTCAGGGCAAAAAAAAAAAACAAAAAGAAACTGAAAAAAAAAAAAATAGAAACTGAACCTCAGATTTTGGGGCACAAGATGCAGAGACCAGGGAAAAGTAACAGGTCACTGAGCTACTGCTAAAGGGCTTGATCCTGCCCTGAGGATCCTGCTCTGTCCTTTCTCTTTAAAGAAGTCCCCCCTTCAGCTGAGAGGCTACTTATGATTTTCCGTCTGTTACCGAGCTACCCTCTCTGTAATTGCAGAAACAGACAGAAGCCGAGAGACAGAAGATCCTCTCTGAGTGTAAGGAGCTGCGTGGGTTCCTGGAGGAGAAGGAGCAGTTCCTGCTGTCCCGGCTGGAAGCGCTTGATGGAGACATTGCTCAGAGAAGGGATGAGAGTGTCTCTAAACTCTCAGAAGAAATCTCCCACATTGATAAACTGATCACTGAGAAGGGAGAAGAGACGGGGCAGCAGCCGGTGAGCCAGTCCCTGCAGGTGAGACATATCATAAGGTTACTATCATTATCTTCCATCTCGCTGATTAGAGGGAGGCAGAAAATGAGGCATGGAACAAAGCAAGTTGGTTGCAGCGCTGGGTCTAAAATCCAGGAGTTCTGACTCCCAGATACCCCATCTATAGACCCGGCTCCTCTCCCAGAGTTTGAAGTAGAACCCAGGAGTCCTGATCCACTGCAAACTCCTTCACTCGACTGGGATGTGTCTGTTCTGATCCATTCCCTGTCTGAGTCCAGGATTCAGAGTTCACAACATAATTGACAAATACATTATCTAGATGCTACCTGGAGCCAGTCAACCCCTCCCCCCTCCCCCCCTTTAGATTTGTATTTTTTTAATCATCTCATTTTCACAGTAAGGAATACTTTTTTTTAAAATGCATTTGTTTTGGTCCATTTTGTTCCATGGCCGGATTTTGATCTTAAAGGCTTCAAAAACTGTTACAAAAAAGGAAACAATTGAGATTTCTTGCATTAAAAACATCTATGAAGTTTCAAAGTTGGGTACTTAAAAAATAAAATCATGGGGTAAATTTCAGCCAGCGCTCATGTTAATAGCTCAGTGGGACAAATTGTGCTCTCAAGTGGGACGGGTTGGTGTAAATCTACTGAGTCAATCTAGCTTGACACTGGTGTGAATCAAATCTGAATGCGGCCCCTGTTCACATAGGTCTGGTCTGCACCTAAAAAATAGATCGACCTGCCTACATCGCTCAGGGCTGTGAAAAATTTCGCACCCTGTGTGACGTAGTTAGTCGACCCAATCCCCACTATAGATGCAGTTGGGTGGATGGAAGAATTCTTCTATCAACTTAGCTACCATCTCGCAGGGAGATGGATTACCTGCAGCGACAGGAGGACACCTTCTGTTGATGTAGGAAGTGTCTACGCTACAGTGCTTCTGCTGCAGTGCCAGAGCTGGGCTGCTGTAGTGTAGACAATTCCTCTCAGTCATCTGGAATCCCTCTGCAAACATAGATGAGTTTAGCTTCAAAGCTAGAAGGGCAATACTAGCCTTGCTCTACAGATAGGGAAAGTGAGGCAGGAAAGGACTGACTTTCCCAACAAGCCAGTGGCAGGACAAAGAGTTGGAGCCAGGAGTCCAGCACTGTAACCTCCCCCTGCCCCCCCTAGCTCATCCTTCTGCACCACTTGAGCTCCCTGTTTAGCAGGACAGGGAGACTTGGGGGGATGGGGCTCTCACTACCAAGGCAGAAAATCTTTTCTTCTTGTAAAGTGCATGGGGAGATGCTTTCCTCCATGGCCACTTCACAGCTGACCATTCCTGAGGCTGCTGAGAGCAAACATCCCAGCTGGAAGGAGACAGAAGTAGCAGCTGCTCTCTGAACGGGAGCCTGTGTGTCAGACTCCAGTGGGAACTCCCCTGCAGGACCAAGAGGCCTCCCCAGTCTGGGACATGTTCACTGACTGCCTCTTCTTTCTCCTCCTCTCTAGGGTGGTGGTGGCAGCAGGATCAGGTAAGTCCTGGGCTCCATCTCCCTCCCCTTCATGCTCAGCTCGGCTTGGAAATGGCACTGAATATGCAGCCACGGAGTGCAACACGCTGACGCGTGATCGTGTGTCCCACTAGCAGCTGCCATAGCAAGGAGAGGAGGGGCTAGCTGCTGCGTGACAGCCAATGGGATTACTCCTTTAGCTTCTGTGGTAGGGGCTTTGTCTTTTGGTGTTAGAGAGCCCAGGTTCTAACCCAGCTGGAGACCTGCGCTGTCTATGGTCCTAGTGGTTTACGTGAGATACGTAAACTGGATCTGGATCTCTGTCTCCTTTCTTTCCACATAACCCTGGGATTGGTGCCCCTTGTTACTAGAGTAGCCCAGCGCGAGAGAACTGGGCTAGTGGGAATCCAGAGAACTCCCAAACGGGTCTCCATTCCTGCCTCCCCAAGTCCTGTTCCAGTCCATTCGGAGCATGGGGTTGTAGTCACATGACTCACAACAACTGGGATTGTCTTGCAAAGCTCAGATCCAAACTGGCCTGAGAGCTCCCAAGATTTCTGGGGCGGGGCCTCAAGCCTGTTTCTAACCCTTCCTCCTCCTCTCTCTCCAGCAGCGAGAACTGGACGTTTCAGAAGCCGGAGCCTGCATTTGCGGAGCTGGAAAAAAGACTCAGGAGTTTCTCTCAGAAAAGCGCCGTCCTGAAGGAAGTCCTGCTGGAGTTCAAAGGTGAATGGAAGCATCTGTGTCTTCTCTGCTCATAGCTGCCGTAATATTGGGGAGGGCTGTTACGTCAGTAGCTTACCTGGTCTCTCAGTGCCTAACTTCTATCAGTCGGTCTTACCTGTGGCTGTGCCAGTGGTCTCTGTCTTGCCACCCTGTAATTTTAAAAGCCGCTACTAGGCTAAAGCAGCAGCAACCCCGTGGTTAAGGTTGCAGCATGTGGTCCTCAAAATCACTTCACGTCTCCTCCAGCGACCCCCCTCCCACACCACATATATGCTCGGTCGACACGTGCTGCTCTTTCTCTGAGGGCTTGTTTTATAGCAAGAGTTGGAAGAATTGGGTGTGTAGCATGTCTCTCATTCCTTGCAGTGGAAGGCACTGCTCTGAGTTGGGTTGTGAGGACCTGATGACACTGTCTTGCAAGGGATAGGAGCCTTTCCCCTTCACTGGGCATTTCCTAGCTCTGAGTGGTGTCTATAATGAAGCCTTAGACCAGTGGTTATCAACCCACAGCCCATGGGTGGCTTATGGCCCAATTGGCACACAGTTGTGGCCTATGGGACAGCCTCAGGGCCATACAGGTAGTATATATATTGTGTGGATGCAGCCCACATAATACATAGGGCTTGTCTTAAATCGGCGCCACTGTGATTGATGCAGCAGCATCGATTTAGTGGATCTGGTGGAGATGCAATAAGTTGATGGCCGAGCACTCTCCCGTCAACTTCAGTACTCCACCTCCCCAAGAAGCGGAAGCTACGTTGACGGGAGAGCGTTTCCTGTCGACATTACACAGTGCTGTAAGTCGATCTAAGCTACGTTGACTTAAGTTACTTAACTTGCGTAACATAGATCGACTTACCTTGCTCGTGGAGACCAGGCCATAGAGAGCCACATATGCGGCCCACAATGATAAACCGGTTGAGAACCACTGCCTTAGACACGGGATATTAAGCGTTGATTGAAACTCTTCAAACAATGGCCTTGGTGCTAAAATGGAAACTTCTTCATCTTCCAGTGTAATGGAAGAACTTGTTTCCCATTCCCTACACCCGGTTCAGTGGCAGAAGGAAAGCTTTCGTGGATTTTGTTTCACTTTTTCAACCTGCTCTAGATGCTTATCCCCAGGAAAGCCAGGGCTCAATTCTCTCTCCTTTCATTCCCCTAGAAAATCTGCGCTTCGAGCTGGAGAACGACACAGGTAAGCCTCCGCCTCCCTCCGCTGACTTCTTCCAGCATCCCAGGAACTGACGTTAACCCTGCTGCTGTGGCAGTAATAGTGCAGGAGTAGGCCTGGCGACTCGCCCCCTGGTGTGATGGCTGAAGGGAATTCAGCCCAAATCTCCCCTCAGTGTTTTGTTTTCCTTTTGGATAAGGAAACGGAATGCTGACGGCTGCGAAGTCAGGTGAGACAAACACGTGTTGCGTTTCCTCAGCAGACCCCCCTGCTTTCTAGTGCACTGTCCTGAATTCCTGTTTTCTCGAAGGCAAATGCAGTTTGGAAGCTGTAAGAGCATGCAGTGTCTCTGGGCCCAGAGACTTCCCCTTTTCTCTGAAGCTTCCTACATCTCTCAGGCCATTGCCCGGCAGCATAGATAGTGCCACAGCTTAAAAGAGGGAAGATCTGGTGGTGTAAGGGGCTGTCCCCCGGGATGAGCTCTGCTGTTAAATCCCTGTCTCCCTCTCTCTAGCCGATATATCTCTAGACCTGGACACTGCAAACCCCTACCTGGTGCTGTCCGAGGATAAGCGCAGCGTGAGGCTGAGGAGCGCCCCGCAGGACGTGCCGGCCAGCCCCAAGAGATTCGATTACTCCTTCTCTGTTCTGGGGGCCGAGGGCTTCACCTCGGGGAGGCACTACTGGGAGGTGGAAGTGGGGGACGGGGACAGCTGGGCTGTGGGGGCTGCCAGGGAGTCGGTGAGGAGGAAGGAGAAGATCGACTTCACGCCCGAGGAGGGGATCTGGGCGGTGGGGCTGAATTGGAAGGGCAAGAACTGGGACCAATACCAGGCTTTCACCTCCCCTGAGACTCCCCTGTCCCTCTGTGAGAGGCCCAGGAAGATCGGGGTCTACCTGGACTACGAAGGAGGGTGGGTGGCGTTCTACAACGCTGATAACATGGCCCCCATCTTCACCTTCACGGCCGCCTTCGCGGAGAAAATCTTCCCTTTCTTCTGGCTCTTCTACGTTGGCTCCTCCCTCACACTTTGCAACTGATGCGCCTGGCCCAGTTTGCTCTTTAAGGGGACCTGCAAAGGGTGGGGGTCCTGCCCCTCTGTTCTATGTTGTTGTTGTTTTTTGCTGCTTTCTGAAGTATAGAGCGAGCCTAAAAGGTTGAAATGAACTTTTCCCCCCAAACTTTTCTCTTCTCATTAACTAGAAATTCAGAGCTTGTCTACCCTGGAAAACATTATGGCCCGCTGGGAATCTCAGCTTAGATGCTGAGGAGCACAAGTTGTATTGCCTTTCAGTGAGACTTGTGCTCCTAAGTGATTTTTTTAGGTGGTTTTTGAACAACACCCCCCACCAGTCTGTCCTGGAAGACTATAGCCCACTGGAGACCTGGCAGCTATACCAAAGAGCCTGCTTGAGATGAAGTGAATTATTTTATTCAGGCAGGTTAATTTTTTTTTAAACACCCCACTCACTCAATTGCCCCACACACACTTGGGAGAAAAGCTCTCTTTGTTAATGATTCACCACTCCCACCTGCTCATTTGAGCACCCGATCCACATCTCTGAGACCTCCAGTGAGTCTGCCAGAGAAGACCAGACTCGATTCTCCTGATGTCTCAGTGGTAAATCAAGCTGCATGGGGAAGAAGGCATAATCAGCTGGGCCTTTTTTATTTTTTTATTTTTGCACTTTGCAGGTCACCTTTTGCAAATGTAACTGCTCCAATTCCCTCTCCCTTTCCTCCCCAGCCTTAGCAATAGGACGCTTTATCTCATAACACGTTACCCCTTCTCCTGGCCACTAGCACGTAACAGAGTAAAACCTGCTTCCCCTTCTGTTGCTTTCCCTATGTTGTCAAATACCTAGTGAGCGTTATAGGGTTGCCCTTGATGTTGGTGTTTTGGGGCCATATTGAGGCTGCGGGAAGCCCAGGGCCCTCGGTTTGGCTCAGGCTTGTCGGGCATGAGCTGTAGCCGACCTGAGGGGTGTGGGGGGGTGGACTGTAATTACCTGCTGATCCACTAGTGAATGGAGCCAGCTTGTCTAGAGGCCACGTTCTGGAGTTGCATGTGAGATAAGCAAGGGCAGTTGAACCCAGAGGGTTCCCATTGAGCCCAGTGGGGTTGGATGATGTTTTTGAGTTACACTAGCACAACTGCAAGTTACAGCAGTCTGGAGTGACTCCAGTGTCAATTGAGAGCAGACTCCAGGAGTCAGTCCAGATTTGATTCCAACCCTAAACCCCACTGATTTCAGGAGTTACCCTGGTTTAACACAGATTCAACAGGGTAAAGTTAACCAGAGGGTTTTCCATCTGCTTGTATCTAACTCCAGCCTAGCATTCATGCTAGCCTCTGTAACCCCGTCAGTGCTGTGCGTCTCTGAACCGTTGCTCTGTTTCGTAGGAAAATAAAATTCACTGTGCAAATAGAAAAAGCTCCTGTGGTGTTGAGTATTTTGCTGCTGCCTGCCTGCAATACAGCCTTATGCAGGCAACAGAGCTGCCCCAAACAGGAGCCTCCCTCATCCAGCTGCTTTCATGACTGGTTTAAGGGCACTGAGGGGGCTAGAATCCAGCTTTCCACATCTGGTGCCTTCCTGAGTGCATAACACGATGGCTCCTCCTGCTGCCCATCCCAATGCCAGGTAAGCGGAGTAAGTTTCCACGCCTGGCTGAGGCCTTGTCTGCGATGGGACGTAGCTGCACACTTCTAGTACCGATGAGGTTCGGCGTAGCGTGGCATTGCTTGTGCCCACCTGAGACTCAAACAGATGGTGCATGGGCAAGTGCTGGCACTGGTGTGACCACTAGCAGGGGCAGCAGCCATGGGGGGCAGACAAGGCTGCAGCAAAGGGAGCATCTAGCTTCCTCTTCTCAAGACTGTCGGGGGCATAAACTGAGCCATGTGACTGAGTGGGGAGCAACAGAGTGCCTGTGGGTGCCATATAATAGTGGGCACCAGCGTTCCTTCTAATTTTTCCCACGCATGTGCGGAATGAATTTATGTGCAGTGGGGTGGGGCCAAGGGGTTCAGAGTGTGGGAGGGGGCTCAGGGCTGGAGTGCGGGGAGATGAGGGGTTTGGGGTGCAGGCTGCCCCAGGGCTACAGCAGGGAGAGAGGACTCTCCCCAGCTTTCTCTCCCTGCAGCAGCACCTGGGCTGCGGGGGAGAGGCACCTCTCCCCTGGCTGCAGCAGGCCTGGGCTGGGGAAGAAGCATCTCTCCACTCCGCGGCACTTAAGAGGCTGCTGTGTGGCCATGCAGCTTAGAGGGAACTTAACTGGGCACTCCTCCTGTGGGGAGCAGACACGGACCATCCTGCTCTGAGTGTGTGCCCTGGGGGAGGGGGGGGAGAGATATCTAGTTAGCCTGTAAGAGCTTTGAGGCTGGCACATGCTCAGTGCAGACAGAATCTTGCCAGCATTTAGCTGCAAAACTCTTCAAGGCACTTCTACTGAGCATGTGCGAGCTGTTTGGCAGCTTGTAGCTGTGGCAGATTTGGGTGGATTTTTTTTTTTTATAGGGGTGGCAAAAAGCTGGGTCCAGACATGAGGATGACCCACCCCCACCAAATTTCAAGTCCCTGCTCCACAGCATGCAGGTATTACACCATCTCGGTGAAACTTTTACCTGGCTCAAAAATGAGGAAGCCCTTGGAGTTGAAACTCTCAAAAATAGATCAAGCCTCTCGAGCTGAGGCCACCCCCCACCATAAGTGCTGACAGGCTGAACGGTTAGCATGGCAAAGTTAAACCATAGAGACAAGGGCTTCCTGGACCAATCTAGTAGCATGGGTACTGCTGGTACACACTTTCTGGCAGGAATTTTATTCGACGCCTGCTGGGGCGTAGATGGTACTCTAATACAAACAGCAATGGCCTTCCGGGCACAAGGCGGCTCGCTGACAATCCCCTCCCCAGTGGCAGCTCAGCGGGCGGCTGTGCCAATCAAGGCTTCGTCTGGAAGTTGCTAGGCCAGGCAGAGCCAGAGCATCACTTTCAGGTCAGGACTGGCTGCTGCTGGCTCCTGACCGATGAGCCAGATGCTGGCTGGCGCTCACCCCGTCCAAACTGCAGCAAGGCCGAGGTAGAAATCCTCCCCGCCGTGGCTTTTCTGATGGGCGGCCAGGTGCGCCCTCTCCTGGAAGCCTTTCCCGCACAGGGGGCACTTGTAGGGCTGCTGGCCTGCGTGGACGCTCTGGTGGTTCCTGAGGTCTGAGCTGCGGCCGAAGCCGATGCCGCACTGGGGGCAGTGGAAGGGCCGGTCACCGGTGTGACTCCGCCGGTGGAGGATGAGGTCTGGGTGCTGGGCAAAGCCCTTCCCGCAGTCGGCGCAGTGGTAAGGGGCGTCTCCGAGGTGGCTGCCCTGGTGGGCCAGGAGGTGGGAGCGCTGGCTGAAGCTTTCCCCGCACTTGAAGCAGGTGTGCCGTTTCTCCTCCATGTGGCTGTACCGGTGCATTTCCAGCTGGCCCGGCCACTTGAAGCCCTGGCCGCACTCGGGGCACTTGTAGCGATCGTCCTGCAGGTGGGTGCGCTGGTGGTTGACCAGGACGGAGCGCTTGCGGAAGCGCCGCCCGCACTTGGGGCACTGGTGGGGCCACTCCCCCATGTGGCTCTTGCGGTGGGCGGCCAAGTCGCAGCGGCGCAGGAACCCCTCCCCACAGTCAGGGCAGGGGAAGGGGATCTCCCCGGTGTGGGAGCGCCGGTGGACGGACAGGTCACAGCGCCGCAGGAAGCCCCGCCAGCAGTCGGGGCAGGGGAAGGGTTTCTCCAGAGCGTGCAGCCGCTGGTGGCGCAGGAGGTGAGCATGGTCAACGAAGATCTTCCCGCACTCGGGGCATGGCCACTGCTGCTGCTGCTCCGGCTGGAGGCTCAGCAGGACCTGGATGTATTTGTGGCCCACGCTGCCTCCCCCGGGGGAAGTGGGCTGGGCTCCCTCCTGCCCTTCCAACCCGCCCCAGCTCGCACAGACGTCCTCCTGCTCACGACTCCCTTCGCATTTTATTGATGACGTAAGGTGTGGCTCCCCCTGCGTCGGCATCCAGGACGCGTTCCCTTCGGATTTCACGGACGGCATCCTGCGCAGCTCCACTTGCGGGGGACCCTGGTGCTGAGCATTTTCACGGGCTGGACCCTCACCTGCTGGGACAGAGAGAGAATCCAGACAGGAAACCTCAGAGAAGGGAATGTGTAGGGGGGAAAACAAACCACAGTAACAGCTGGGGACATGGAAAAAAGAATTAAGATCCTGCCCAAACTCTTCCCCAAAGGACAGAGAGGAGGGGACCAGTTCTGCCTCCACCCCATCTGAAGACTAAAGGGCAACGGAAGCTACTGCCAGGTGTCAGGAAGGGGTGGGCACAGAGGCGCTGACTTTCTAATTGGCGGCGGAGGGGGCTGCTCCATCCCAGGCCCCACCCCCTTCCCTGAGCCTGCTCCGTCCTCGCTCCTCCCTCCCAGTGCCTCCTGTCCGCCCTGAACAGCTGATCCGTGGTGGGCAGAAGGTGCTGGGGGGAGGGGGAGGAGCTGATCGGCGGGGCCTGCCGGTGGGTGCTGAGCACTCACGGAGTTCAGCGCCTATGTGTCGGCACTCGGGCGAAGGAAGCTACTGCCAGGTGTCAGTCAGGAATGGGTGGGAAGCCAGTCTGATGGTTGCCGTGACAGCTGAGGATAACCCTGCTCTGGGAGGGAGGAGGTGGAACTGGGGCGGGGGCGTCAGCAGGCCAGCTGTTTCCTTTCCTTGCCGATGGTATGTGTCAGTAGAGCGGGTTCCTCACCTGCACAGGCGCCCTGCGGGCTCTCCTTCTCCTCAGAGCCATGGAGATTGGGGACCCATGGCTCGCCCTCCCCTTTCAACGGGGAAATCACATCAGGCTTGGAAACCGGAAATCCTGCGCAAGGGAAAGAAACTGAGTGAGAGGAGGGGAAGTCGTGGAATATTTCTTACAAAGAGTGTTCCATGATTTTTAACCCCAGTTCATTTTAAAGCAGTAAAATCCCAGGGCCAGCTCCCCAAAATCTCCGCACATTCTGCTACAGGTGGAAACCTCTCTCTGCTGGAAACACAGAGCCAGACACTCATCAGCAAAGCGGTTCCTGTAGTGTATGGAAACCAACTTCGTGTCCTAGAAAGTGGAAAGTCCACCTTGGATCCACTTCTTACTGACGGAGAGGGGCCCAGTGATAGAGAGTCACAGGGACGCTGGGACCAGTGGGATTCAGCACAGGAAGGGATGGGAAGGAGTTGGGGTATCACCCAATGCAGCAGTTCAAGGGCTTTATGGGTCAGCAAAGCACATTTTGTGGAATGAAGCCATCAATGAGCTTGTGAAATCAGGAACCAAATCCCCACAATCCCTTCCCCAGAGGACAGAGACAAGAAGTCCCATCCTGCCTTCACACCCATCTGAACACTCAAGGGCAAGGGAGGACAGTGGGGTGGGAGCTACTGTCAGGGTTGGTTGGAAGCCTGGAGTGACATCTGCCACGAGGGTCTGACTCCTACTGGGGACAATCGTGACCTGTGTGGGATGAGGTAGAACTGGGGGAGCACACGAGGCGTTTGGAAGACTCCCAGCTGTTCCTTTCATTGGCTGGGGGGGTGTGTTAGTTTAATCAATTCCTCACCTATGCAGGCACCGCTCAAGCTCCCCCTTTCCTCGGAACCCTGGGGATCTGAGACCCACGGCTCTTCCCCTCGCTCCAGCCGGGAGATTACGTCGGGTTTGGGAATAAGAAATCCTGCTGAGGGGGGAAGAACATGGTGGGATGGGGGTGAATGAATGGTCTGTGGAATGTTTGTTACAAAGAAAGTTCCATGACATAACCCGGCCCCT